GCAACCTCCGCCTCCCGGGTTCAAGCTGTTCCCCTGCCTCAGCCTCCAGAGTAGCTGGGATTACAGGCATGCGCCACCACGCCTGGCTAATCTCGTATTTTTAGTAGAGACGGGGTTTCTCCATGTTGGTCGGGCTGGTCTCGAACTCCTGACCTCAGGTGATCCGCCCGCCTAGACCTCCCAAAGTGCTGGAATTACAGGCGTGAGCTCCCGCGTCCGGCCCGCTTTTTCTTTATTTTATTTTTATTTTTTCACACACATTCCGTAGGATGAGATGCTTTTTGATTTTTTTTAAAGAACACCTCGTTGAAGACTGGCACTCAGAGGCAGAAGAAAAGCCTGTGGTTCCGATGGTCAGGGAAAGGCGTTGGGGGTCGAAGCTGAATTGGGAGAGAGGAGGATGTGGCCGGATGGGGAAGGCAAGGCCGAGCAGAATGAGAGGCGCCCTCAGGGAATCGGGGATGTTGGAAGGGGGCTGTGAATACAGGCGGGAGGTGGGCGGAACCCGCCGAAGCTACCGGGCGACGGCCTCCCCAATGCGGGCCCAGGCTGAGGCCCCGCCTCGCCCGGAGGCTCCGCCCGCATCCAGGCCCCGCGGGCAGGATTTACCGAGAACCCACTTCAAAGGCTCCCAGGAAGCGCGAGAGAGCCCCAAAGGAAGCGGCGCAGCCTCTAATCCAGCTCTGGGGGTGGGGGAAGCCCCGCAATTATTGGGGGGCTTCCTCCCGCGCTACCCCCTTTAAAACCCGGGAGCCCACATTTAAGTCTCCCCGCCCCCACCTCAAATTGCCTCCTTGCTGGGGGTGAGGCGGTGTTCAGCAAAACTTTTATTCAGACGAGTTCACCCCAGAACCTCACCTGAAAAGCTGAACAGTCTCTCTTTGCGGCTGCAACCGGGGAGTGTTTTCTTTTGAAAAAGACGGGGCCCTAGTTACCGCATGTGTGTGTAACACACACGTTTACTGGGCACCACTGTATGCCCGGCACCATGGGGGATGGCAAGATGGAATAAAATCAGGCCTCTGTGCTTCAGGGATCCCCCTGGCTAAAGAGGAGGGAGTGAGAGCCGGAATTATTTATTTGGCCTGGGGGAACCCAGTCGGTTCTTCAGAAGTGACTTTCCATCGATTGTAAAGGTAGATAGCTAAGATTCAATGCACATTCACTGTGTGCCTAGCACTGAGCGAAGGGCATTAGATACATGATGGTCTCACTGAGTCCCAGGCAGCAGCCCTGAAGGGTGGAAACCAGGATTATTGCACCCACGTGGCTCCACCAAGGCCACACAGTGGGTTACATGGCAGAATCCAGGTCTGCTGGACCCACTGTTCATTCATTCACCAAATCTGTGTTGGGCTCGCACTATAGACCAGGCACTTTCCTACCCTTTGGCACTCCGTTCTCCTGTGTTATGTATGCCAAGGCAGGTCGAGTAGGAGCTGCCCAGATGGAAGGGGCATCCGGGGAGAGGGCACAGCTGGGACAAAGGCATGAAAGCCCAGGATGTGTTCAAAAAAGAGCAGGTCGACTCGGCTCTGGGGGAGACACACTTCACTTCTTAGTTCCATCTCTGCCACGTACCACTGTGTAATTTTAGTCATTTCTTCTCTCTGAGCCCCACATTGTTTCTGCAAAAATGGAAGAAATATTAGTTTTTCCTTCCAGGGCTAGAGAGGATTGAATGAGTTCACAGAGGTGAAGTGGCCTGGCATAGAGCAGGCCTTCAAGAAATGTGGATTGAAATGAGTGGAGGGGGCTGGGCGCGGTGAGGCTGAGGCACTTTGAGAGGCTGAGACCATTCAGAGGCAATGATCCAGATGTACCCATGACAGTGTGTGCTGGATCTAGCCTGTCTGGGCCAGAATCCCAGCTCCAAATTTTACTTCCAAATTTGCTGTTCTGTAAAATGTGTACAGGAGCAGTGCCACCTCATTGAAAGTGTCATGAGAACTAAGTGGATTGCTATAGAGAAGTGCCTAGAACTGGGTCCGAGACACAGTAGTGCTTTATAAGTATTGGCTACAATTCTTTTCTTTTCTTTAAAAAAATTTTTTTTTTTTGAGACAGGGTCTCACTTGGTTGCCTAGGCTGGAGTGCAGTGGTGCAATCACAGCTCATTGCAGCCTTGACCTCCTAGGCTCAAGCAATCCTCCTGCCTCAGCCGCCTGAGTAGCTAAGATCACAGGTGCTCACCACCATGCCCAGTTATTTTTTTTTTCTTTTTTCTTTTGTAGAGATGGAGTCTCACTGTATTGCCCAGGCCACATTATTTTTTTTTTGATGCTCTTGGCCAAAGGCAGGCACAGATTAAAGGTGGGTTAAGTGAGGCCATGGCTTCAGCATTCACCTTTGTCATCTCCTTGACCCCAGTCCCCAGCCCCAGCTAAGTCCTAGCAAAGGTGGGCCCCTAAGCAGACTGGTGGGCTGGAGGCAGGGATTGGCAGGGGAGGCAGTCACACACAAACACACACTCACTCGAGTTCCACCTGCCTGTACAGGAACCTTGTCTGCTGCAGTGGCGCTGAGGCCCTGAGGGCTCCTTGGGGCCTTTATGGGGTAATTCCATCTCCATTAGGGCTGATTGTATCGCTGTAAATACCACGTTTTGGTGCCGCTTTATAAGACTCACTGAAAAACTTTCCTCCTTAGCACCCAGTCACCTAGAGCGGGAAGGACTCTGAGTTGGACAGGAAAAGAGGGAAGGGTGTGTCATCAGATGGGTGACTAAAAGCCAGGGAACGGCCCCCACCCCATACCCTCTTGCTGCCACCTGACATACCACTCCTTTCCATAGGCCTCTGCTCACGTCACACACTGCAGGTGAGCGACACCCTGCCCTGTGCTCTCGGCCCTCAACTTGTGCATATACTGCTGGGCATGTGGCCCACAGCCATCAGGGCCTGCCTGCACCCCGCCATGTGCGTGTGCTTGGATCCAACCTTTTGAGGCCACACATGGAAACCCACACTTGTCACCGGAAGGACCGACCAACACTACGTACAGAGAGTTTCACGCAACACAGAACTTGCAACACTGTCATTCACTCAGTTCATTCATTCAGCGGAGGCTTGCTGAATATCTAGTGTGTATCAGGCACTGACTGTTTTCTTTTTTTTTTTTTTTTTGACTCTAACTCTGTCACCCAGGCTGGAGTACAGTGCCGCGGTCTTGGCTCACTGCAACCTCCGCCTCTTGGGTTCAAGCGATTCTCCTTCCTCCACCTCGAGTAGCTGGGATTACAGGCGTGCACCACCACGCCTGGCTAATTTTTGTATTTTTAGTAGAGATGGGATTTCACCATGATGACAAGGTCGGTCTCGAACTCCTGACCTCAAGTGATCTAGCTGCCTTGGCCTCCCAAAGTGCTGGGTTTATAGAGGTGAGCCACCGTGTCTGGCCCAGGAACTGCCTGTTTTCTACAAACATCCCTGTCCTCCTGCAGTGTGTCCTCTAGTGACACATCTGACAGATGGAGCCTGCAAATGGCATATAACATACATGTACAAGCAGTGGCTTCCACGCAACTCACATGGAGTCTTACACACACCAGTACCCCTAGCTCAGAGGCTCCAATACAACATGCAAAACACTTATCCAAACCACATACTACACACATGCTCACACTCATCCACACACCCCATGTGCCTGTCCGTAGAGCCCCGGGCACAACACATGCCCGGCTCTCCACGGATGTGGCTTCCTGTTGCTGAACTGTGTGTAACCCAGTAACAGCTGAGATTTCATGCGCGCTTTCTGTAGTTCTGGCCCCCGTAGTTTACATGCATGACTTTATTTGATCTTTACAGTAACTCTCCGAAATAGGCTTTACATCTTCCCAGTGAGCAAACTGAGACTCAGAAAAGTGAAATAACTTGTTCAGAAACTCGCGGACTCACTCCACAACTACTGCGAAGTATGGCACACTCACAAATACATGCATACACAAATCCACGCTCGCATGCACTCATACACAAATCTCTCACACCCACATGCACATTCATACACACATCTAGACACATCCACACAATCCACACATTCAAATACACACTCACACACACTCATACCTAAATCCTCTCATGCCCATGCACACACACTCATACACACATATACCAATTTTTTTTTTTTTTTTTGGAGACCGAGTCTTGCTGGCCCAGGCTGGAGTGCAGTGGTGCAATCTCCGCTCACTGCAATCTCTGCCTCCGGGGTTCAAGTAATTCCCCAGCCTTAGCCTCCTTAGTAGATGGGATTACAGGTGAGTGGCACCACGCCCAGCTAATTTTTTTGTATTTTTAGTAGAGACAGGGTTTCACGATGTTGGCCAGGCATGTCTCGAACTCCTGACCTCAAATGATCTGCCTGCCTCGGGCTCCCAAAGTGCTAGAATTACAGGCGTAAGCCGCCATGCCTGGTCACATACAACACTTATGTCCATACACACACACAGAGTCATACATACATCAACACTCTCATGTCTACACACATGCATGCACATTCAACACAATCTCACACCGTCACACACATGCACTTATTCTCACAGGCACTTGCACACTCACAGGCTCTCAGAGGACCAAGGCTCTCCTCCTATCCTCTTGGTCAAAGGCTTTAATTAACCCCAACACCTGTAATTAACCCTTCCTCTCCTCCTGCAGAAGAGACGTCTGGACCCGCTTCCCAAGAACAGGCACTAAGGCAAGAGGCCAAGATGTCCACATCCAGCAGAGAGGACCCAGGTGCCTGGGTAGCAGGTCCCGGACGTCGAAGCAAGGATGGGGTCAGAGAGGAAGAGGTAGGCAAAGGGAGTCTGGGGCCTCCCAGGAAATCAGGCCTGCCACAGTTGCTCTTCCTAGACTAGTCAAATGGTGATTGGCCAACAGGCAGCCGTGGGTGGCCGGGCAGGCTGGCCAGAGCACATTTGCCGTTTGTTTCACTCACACTAGCCGCTTCTGTCAGGAAGGGAGATGAGCTCATGTCTGAGGAAGTTTTGTGAAGAGGCCTTATCAAGGGGCAGGTGGTAGGCAGGTGTCCTCCAAAGTGTCAAAACCTATCAACCAATCCTGCCATGCCAGGGTTGGGGGCTAGGGGTGCTCTGCATGGCCGCCCCTTCCCCCTTCCCCAAAAAGAAGCAATGGTTCAAGCAGAGACCACCAGGATTCAAATCCTACTTCTACTACCCATGAACTGTACACCCCTTGGGCATGTTGTTTCTGCTCTTGGAGCCTCAGTTTCCTCTTGATGACCCCTGCCTCCCAGATGAGAATGATTAATAAATAAGATAGTGCATGTCTGATCCATTGCCAGAGGAAATGAACCTACTCTTAGATCATAGTAGGCTTAGAGGCTTCTGAACAGAGATACTCTTCTTGACCATTAACAGCTTGGTACACTCTTCAAGGGTTTTAGGAAGGAGGGCATCCGGGTCTATTTCTGGGCCACTCTCCCAGGCCTGCTGCTTAGAAGGTAACTGCTTACTGGACCCCCAATCCATTTCAGCTCAGGCCTTCAGGCCAGCGTTCAGCTCAGTCGCATTGAGCTCAGTCTCAGAGGTGAAGGACAGAATGGGTATGGCTCAGCGCAAAACCATTCCACGTTTGCAACGAGGATCCCAGGCTCAGAGATCCCTGGGGACTAACCCGTAGGGGCGCTGGCGCTTTGAGACGCTCAAATTCTGGAGGGCCTGCGGAGATCCCGCGAGTCCAGAGGGCCCCAAGGTCCTCCTCCAAACCCCTTCGGACTTCCCCTCCCTCTCCTCCGGGTGCCAGCCCGGCCCCTTTAAAGACATTCCTGAGGGCGTGGCCTCGGTGACGTCACGCGGGGCATGAATGAACAGGAGTCGGTTCTCACCCAACTTCCATTAAGGACTCTGGGCAGGAGGGGCAGAAGTTGCGCGCGGGTTGGCTGGCGGGAGCGGACACCCAGGCCGGCGTGCAGGCTTGCGGGTGTGCGGGCGCCGGGCTCGGGGAATCGGACCGAGAGCAAGGAGCGCGGCATGGAGCTCTGGGCAGCCCGCGCCTGCTTCGCCCTGCTGTGGGGCTGTGCGCTGGCCCCGGCCACGGCAGCGCAGGGCAAGGAAGGTGAGTGCGCGCGGCGTCTGGCCCCCTGGCCCCCGGGCCCCAGTGCCCCCCAGAGCCCGGCGCGTCTTCACCCGCGCAACTTTGGAAACCGACCTGGTGCCGCCCAGTTCCGGCGAGCTGGAGTCCGGAGGGCGCACGGGCTGCGATCGAGGCGAGCCCTGGCCCCCAACCGGGGTCATAGGGGCTCCGGAGAATAAGGGATTTCAACTTGGTCGCACGGGCCTCGGAGGCTGCGGAGAAGAGGACGCGGCGCAGGCCACGCGGTTGCAGTCCAGGCGGCGGCTTTGGGAACGCGTCCCGGCGGGGGGCTTGGGGAGTGCCCTAGAGAACTGGGTGTTTGGGAGGCTTTCCGCGGGCTCAGCTTCTTAGTGACCTGAATTTACTAACCCACTTGCCGGGGTTTTGCGGAGAAGGCATACTGTGCAGGCCTTGCAGTTTGAGGAGGGGGCTCGGGCGGACGGGAGCCCCCTGGCGAAGCCCGTGTTCCCTGAGATTTTCTCCATGCCCCCCTTCACCTCCAGTCCCGGGGGAGAGCGTGGAGGAAGGTTCGGGCCAATCCCTCCTCACACACTCCTTTCCCTCCTTCCCAAGCCGCACTCCCGGGCTCCCGGGGCAGGTTAGGGGCAGCTAGTGCGGACAGGAAGTCCCAAAGTCAAGCGTTCTGAGCAAGGGTGACTCAGAACGAGGAAATGCGGCAGGTGGGGGCGCGGCCTCCCTACGTGTGGAGCTGTCAGCCCAGGGCCACCAGGGAGTCAGGACACCCGGGGGTGGGGGACTGAATCATCCACCCCCGCCCCAGTGTTCCCGGAGCCGCGCAGGGTGAGGGGCCGAAGACTTTGCTCATGGCGCGGCGGGTGTGTAGTGGGGGTGTTGTCCCTCCGCTAAGGTCGCGGTGAGGATGGGGGCTCCTGCCCTGGCCGAGGACCTTCCTGTCCACCCAGCCGAGGCCAGCTTCAATTTCCAACAGTGAGGGCAAGGTTTCCCCGCCTGCCTGGGCAGAGCGAGGTTTCCGCAGGCTCCACAAGGGGAAGCGGGTGAGAAGTTCCCCCCTTTTTTTTTTTTTTTTTTTTGAGACGGAGTTTTGCTCTTGTCGCCCAGACTGCAGACTGGAGTGCAGTGGGGCAGTCTCGGCTCACTGCAACCTCCACCTCCCGGGTTCAATCGATTCTCCTGTCTCAGCCTCCTGAGTAGCTGGGATTACAGGCGCCCGCCACCACGCCCGGCTAATTTTTGTTTTTTAGTAGAGACAAGGTTTCACCATGTTGGCCAGGCTGATCCTGAACTCCTGACCTCAGGTGATCCACCCGCCTCGGCCTCCCAAAGTGCTGGGATTATAGGCATAAGCCACCGTGCCCGGCCTGTTTCCTTCTTTTTCTGCCTCCCAAACTGGGTTTGAAGGTTTTGCTGTTCCGTGTTGGGAGAAAAAGAGGCCAGATCTGGAGCCGTTGTGCAGTGGCAGGTGTTGGAGGTGGCATCCTGTCTCAGTCTCTGGAGTGACAGGACCCGGGTCTCAACTGGGACCTCTGGTTGCAGGAGGCACTCATGGTAGGGATTTCTGCCACCCTCAATATCCGCCCCACCAACGTTTGGTCCTCCCCCTTCCTGAGGGACTGTGGTTGGAGAGAAGGGGAGAGACAGCTGGAATCACTACAGGCCTTTCTCCTCGGCTGCCCATGGGGAGTGGGGAATTAGGCTGGTGCTTTGCTGCTGCAGCCCCGAGCTGGCTTGGAAGCCTGGAGCTGCCTTGTTCTTGTTCCCTGCGTCCACCTCTCCCCAGCCTGTGGTTAAACCCCACCCCCACACCCCATGGGGTGCATGGGGAAAGGCTTGTGTATTGCACTGGGGTAGGGGTACATTTTTGCTTGACTCTGAGTCCCCGTGAAAGACTCCCTAGAGAAGTGTGCTTAGGTGGGTGTGGGCATGATGGCCCAGCTGGCAGCTGCTGGTTTCAGTTCCTGGGAACCAGGTTGGATGCGTTGTGACGGCCTGGGGGTGGCTTAGGGGGCAGGCAGGAGGACACAGGTGCCTTTTTCACCTACCCCCAGGCTGCTGTGGACTTCTTTCTTGCCCCCTTGCCCCTAGGCTGTACTTGGTTGCCCACGTGGCTCCTGTTAGGTCGTCAACAGCTACTGAATCTGCCCTCTTTTTTACAAATGGGAAAACTGAGGGAGGCCCAAGTCCTTGCCAACCAGGGACCTCTGAACAGAGGACCAGACCTGAGCATCCCGCTTCTCGGCCGCTGGAGCCAAGGCCCTGCCTGCCTTATGGTTGGTGTCATGGTAGATTTCCTGGCATAGCTGGGCAGAGGCCTGGGCGGGTGGCAGGGGGTGCTGAGCTGGGGTGCTGCTGATGGGAAGAGGGCTGGAGAGTGCCAGAAAGTGCCTGGTTTCTGGTTCTGCTGGGGCCCAGTCTGCCCTCTGTCCCCTTCCCCTTTTCTTTCATGTTTTCCCCAGAGCGCCCACTTCCCCACTTCCTATAGGGCTCAGCTAGTCTTGGTTAGAGAGGAATGGGGGGAGCAGGGAGGGAACCACAGGACAGTGGGTGGTAGTCCTGCATTTGTGGAGGAAACTGTGGAGCAATGTGGACCCACAAAGATGGCACTTACGATGGAACTCATGGCAAAGAAGGAGGTGTTTTTTGCTTTTTTTTCCCCACAGAAATGGGAAGGAAAGGGGATAGAGGGCTCATGGATAAGCCCTGCTTAGCCTAAGCCTCTCCAGGAAGCCGTCTGGGGCAGCTGAGGGGCTCCCAGGCTCCCACCGTTTCCAGCGAAGTGGGAGCCTCTGTCCCTGGAAGAACCTGGGGAAAGAGCCGCGCCCGCGTCAGGGCGGAGGGACCCAGCGCTGGGCGCCTCCTGTTCCTGGTGGTTGGTTTGAGGGAATTTCCCTGGGAGGGGGCCGGGATTGGAAACCCGGGGCTGGGGGGGGGGCTTCTTCCTGCGTGAGGGCTTCTTTTCTTCTCTGATTGAGCCCTGTGCTACTTCTAGAGCCAGGCCTAGGCTGGAAAGGGAGGGCCCTCCATGCCAGGTTAACCCTTCAGAAGCCTAGTAGCGGTGAGCCCTCTCACTTGGGCACAGACCTCAGCCTCCTGTCAATCTGAGGGGGGGCTGCAGGACTGTGAGGAACCTTTGTCCTACCCACCCTGCTGAAATCAGGAGCCTCCAGATTCCTTCCTGTGTAGCTGGAACATTCCATTTGCTAGTGGGGTTAGTGAGTTTCAAAGCCCCGGCCCTGGGCATGTCTGAACAAATCCCTGCCCCTGCCCACCTCGCTGCCCCCAGCCACCCTCCCCTATCCCCACAGCCTCTGCCATGGGGCCGGTGCCACATTGGATTTCCTCTTGCCTGTCTGGGCTGCCTGACCCTTCTTAGAGAGGTCTGGCCTGGTCAGTAGTGGGGGTGGCAGCATTTCACGCCCCAGCCTGGGGCCTTCAGCCCAGGTAGGAGGGCCATGTCACTTCAGGAAGGGGTTTCCAAGACCGCCCTCAGAGCCCAGCTCCCATCTCCCCAAACCAGTCCATCCCTGCTCCCAGCCTGCCTGGAGCTCTGTCCACCCTTTGAGTCCTTCTCCGGTGCTGGCCTTGAGGAATGGGGCTTCTGAGGCAGATTCCTCATGCTCCAGGGCCCAAAGGAAGCATTGACTTGGTTTCTTTACCCCCACCTTAGGGCTTTACCCTCTGAATCCATCTTGCATGGGTTCTGTGCCTCCATTTTTCCATCTCCTTACCCTCTAGGGAGGGCAGCACTTATTGGCAGCTACCTGGACTTTACTTGGAAATGGAGCGGGGGCAGTACCTAGGGTCTTAGGTTTTGGCTATGGCCTCTGAGCCTGGCGGAGAACCTGGGGTGGATCAGTGGGAGGAGCCCAAGGGCAGGACTGGTCTAGGGAAGCCCCTGGGAGTGCATCCCTCCGCCAGGCTCCAGTTGCCTCTCTGGGAACAGGATGGTCCTGATACCTGGTCCCTCTGGGCCTAGAATGTCCCCTACAAGGGCTTTCACCCCTGATTCCCCAGGAAACTCTGGCACCCCTGGCAGGGCAGTGGTCAGGATGTGAGGGGCAGGGGCGGTGGGAGTGACTTTCCCAGGGAGGGGACCTCGCCAGCTGTGTGTATCTTTGGGCCCCTCTTAGGGGCCCTATGGGTTCAGGGATTTATCCTGCCTGCTCTGTGGCTTTTGTGGTGAGAAGATCGGTTTCCAGATACCCCCTTCCCTCCTCCACCCTGGAGCTGTTCCCACCTGTTAACAGGACTCTCTTCTTGGAGTGCCACAAGATGCACGTGTACATATAGGTGTATATGTGTGTGCCACATGACCTGAGTGGGCTTGGTGTGTTTCCTGCTGGGGGGAACGTGGCAGAAGCAGACACCAGTGTCCCCAAGGCCCACATGCATGTGAAGTGCTGCCGAAGGGCCTTGTTCAAGGAAGCAGACGGGGCGGTGTGGTGTCATTTAATACCCTGCTCAGTCAAGCTCTCTGCCCAGCTGCTGTTCTCCTGCTGGGCTGAGCTCCCTGGCCTGCTCTGCCCAGCTGGGGACTAACAGAGGAGGGCAGCATGGCTGGAATCCTAGCCTGGGAGACAAGAGGCCCAGTCCTGACCCCAACCTGCTCTGTGGCTTCAGCTGGGTTCCATCCCTCGTGGTTCTCATGAGGGAAACATTCTGGGCCTGTTTCCCTCATGAGTCAAGGGATGGTTTTCTTGGATATGGTGACCCTGTGTGGTGGGGTCTCTCTCTGTCTAAGAGTTGGGGTTCCTGGAGGGATCCTCACCTTTTCTGCCATGGTCTGACTCCTGAAGTCAGGCTCACCCCCTCTCCCTTCTCTCTTTCAGTGGTACTGCTGGACTTTGCTGCAGCTGGAGGGGAGCTCGGCTGGCTCACACACCCGTATGGCAAAGGGGTACGTAAGCCTTCGGGGTGGGGAGGGGTGTGGGAATGGAGCTGCTGGTCCCCTGTAGAGATGGCGAAACTGAGGCCCAGGGAGCATGGGGCATGGCTTCAATTCAGCAGCTCAGCCAGGTCTCGGGCTCAGGGTCCAGCTTCTCACACCAGACTCAGAGGCAGCCGGCCCAGGCCGGGGCTGGATGGGCATGGGAAGGTACTGGGGGCGGTAGGTGTAAGCCTGAAAGGTGGGGGGAACTGGGGAGACAGAGAAGGCCCTAGTGGAGCTGGGCCTTCCATGTTCCAGAAAGGCTGACAGTCAGAGGGATCTCTGACAGCCCCCATCCACCTCTTGGGCGGGAAGGGGTTAAAGGTGTCCCCTGTCTTGAGATCTCAGCCCAGGAGGTGAGAGGTGAAGAAGAGACAGGGAACAGGAAAACCTGATCAAGTTCCTTCCTGCCCGCCCCTTTCCCACCTCCAGCTGTTGCTTCCCCTTCCTGTAGGGGGCTGCATTTCTCTGCCTCATTCTCACCCAGGTCTTCCCCTCTATGCTGTCCTGATGTGACCAGGAGTGGGGGCAGGGGCTGGAGGCTTTTCCCCCCAGCTGTGTGTGTCTGCTGTGTGATCTTGGGGAACATGCTGCGGCTCTTGGGGCCTCAGTTTCCCTCTCTATACAGTGGGCCCTTGCTGAGTTCGTCCTGGGGCCCTGAGCTGAGAGAGGGGACTGTCTCCCAGGGACTACTTGGAATAGTCCCCACAGCTG